GTATATCAAGATCTGCTGAACCAAAAATTGCGTATGAATACTCCAATTAAAGCTACAAAAATTATCTAATCAATGCAACAAGAATCAGCTTAATCAGAGTTACCAATCAAAAGTTATGATCAGGACAGTAACAGCTGACAGAAGACTGCGAAAATCAATCTAGATCTAATTTCGAGAATTAGCAAGAAAGATAGATTAATCGCACCACAAACTTCCCTCGATCTCGTGAAAAAAACCTGCAGCAAAGTATTAGAGAAATCTAACACGAAAATTTCACCGAGATTAGAGAAGCCCAGAGATGACACCGCCAAAGATCACTTTATTGCAACGATGTCAATCGATTACAGAAGATGCAAACGTGCATCCAAGAACTCTCCAAGAATAGCTCTAGGTTAAAACTCTGAGTTCCCTCACGTTTTTTCCACCTAAACCGTGGCCTGGACCCCTCTATTTATAGAACTAGGCAACACCTAAAAAGAGTCCATATCAAAAACGAAACTGACGTCCGAGCTGGCTGCGCCGGACCGAACGCTCAGCACCAGACACGGAAACGAGTTGTGTCTGCTCTCGTGCGTGAGCGCTCACCTCGTTTGCTGCATGGGCCACGCTGGGCCTGCTCCTCCTGGCATTTAGCCTATGTACGCTCAGCTGCAGACACATGCAACGAGCAAAATCTGCTCTTGCGCGTGAGCCTGGCTGACGGCCTCCGTTGCGCACGCCGCCTTCCATCGATCCGCACGCCTGCCATACGGGCGGCCCGCGCTGGATTGGGCCGCACCCGCTCGACTCGCCCGATCAATCTGCTGCCGCTGCCGTGCGCGCAAACACATGTGCACACCTTGCACCTCGTGACGTCTTCAGTACCGTACATCTCCGGTACAAGCCATGTACGACAAACCGGTGCCCTCCCGGATCATCGTAGCCTTCACTTCCATTGTTCCTTCGCACGAACGCCCCGCATGACCATGATCCCCAGACCTCAGCTTCTCCCAAGCTTCGTCCCTCGATCCTGTCATCGACCACGTTCCTCCAGCTTTGGCAACACCTGAAAGTGAACACAACAAATAACCAGAACGAGCACAAGTCCACGACTTGACTCAGGGTAAGTTTCACACAACTCACGCCATATTTTCACACAAGAAACTAATGGATCAGCACACAATTAGCAAAGTATTCAGCCCAATACAAGTATCCATATCACATCGCACAAGTATCCATATCACCCAAAATATCCATATCAATGTTTTACTTAGCACTTGCCAATGTTGCACATCACACATGACTTCACAATCTCCCCCTTGATGAAAACATTGGCAACATCACATAAACACCAAACATTGATTGGCATACACATTCACTTAACTTTCAGATTTTCAAGGTTTTGAAAAGAAAAAAGTAAAAAAGCTGAAGATCAACAAAAGATCCAAAAATAAGAACACAAAAGAAAAATTGTGTAAAAATGTGGTGTGAATATGTGGTGGAAATCTCTCCCCCTTTGACAATGAATTTCATCAAAACCACAAAACAAACTCTCCCTATAAAAAGAAATTCTAGAAGCTAGAAAAAGGGAAAATATTTTTTTTTCATGTTTCAATTTTTTTTGTTGTAATGAGCATTATAAGACATCATGAAAATGACAATTCTACGTCCAAGTCATGCAAAAAGTAGTTGTACTCGACATGTATACAAGTATAATGCAATCCACACATGACCAAGAATCAAGTATTGTTACGATTTATTGCAAGGCATGGTCTTCCTTTATCAACTATGCCAATACTTGAATACACAATCACTTGAGCAAGTTATATTAATAGCATTTAAAAAAATGAAACTTAATTTCCAAAGAAGTTGTATGCCATGTCAATTCAACCTTGCCAAGCCTATATTCAAAGTACCATGCCAAGCCTATGTTTAAAGTACAATAACAATCAGAAGCTTAAGACAATGGTAGGCAATCAGAAGCTTAAGACAAAAGTTTCAAGAACAACAACAACTTCGAAGTTCATACCAAAGTGCAATGGTAAGCAGTCTCGTGAAGATGCAATGTGACATTGGCATACTTTTATAAAACTTTGCTTGACACCACGTGTCATTTGTACATATTTAATCTTGATACTTTAATAGATTCATCATTGATAGTAATTGAGTAACCAAGACCAACACAGCTAACAAAGTTTAACCATGACAAGATTTAGTTCAAGTTATCATTCGTATTAGAAAGTCATGTGATAAACTACCTTACACGAGCATACATATAAAATGACAATTTCCTCAAAGCATAAACATGATTGCAAAATGTCATTCCAGGATAAAATACAATGCTCATTACTTTTTCAGATTTTTTTTTTGTTTTCATTTATCGAAGAAAAAAAACTGAAAAAGAAGCAACATGAAAATACCAATTATAACTAGAAACACACAAGTGAAAAAGTATTTTACATATGTTACAAAAAGACTCAACTCCCCCTCAAACCATCCCGTATGGTTTGATTACTCCAAGTTCACCTCGAAGAAAAGCAAACCGAGAAGAATCCAATGGTTTAGTGAAAATGTCTGCCAATTGACGTTCAGTATCTATAAAATGTAGCACAACATTTCTTTTTTCAACATGATCTCTAAGAAAATGATATCTTATGTCTATGTGCTTAGTTCGAGAATGTTGCACAGGGTTTTTAGCAATACATATAGCACTAGTGTTATCACAATAAAGTGGTACACTTTCTAGAGTAACCCCATAATCTTTCATTGTAGCTATTATCCATAAAATCTGTGAGCAACAACAAGCAGCAGCTACATATTCACTTTCAGCAGTAGATTGTGCAACAAAACTTTGTTTCTTAGAAGACCAAAGTACTAATGAATCACCCAAAAATAAGCATGTGCCAGATGTACTCTTTCTATCAATTCTACAACCTCCAAAATCAGCGTCCGAAAATGCACGCAATGAAATACTCGAGGAAGCGGAAAGCCAAATGCCAAAAGATTGGGTTCCATGTAGATACCTGAAGATCCGCTTGACAGCTTGTAGATGTGATGCACGTGGAGAAGCTTGAAACCGTGCACACAAGCATACAGAAAATTGTATATCCGGTCTAGAAGCGGCGAGATAAAGAAGTGAACCAATCATACTCCTATACATCTTTTGGTCAACAGTTTCACCTTCCTCATCAAGATCAAGTGACGCCGTAGATCCCATTGGTGTCATAATAGGGCTGAGGTTTTCCATCCCAAAGCGCCGTAGAAGATCCTTCGTATACTTACTTTGATGCACAAAGGTGCCATCCTTTGTTTGTTTGATTTGCAGTCCCAAAAAGTAAGTAAGTTCACCCATCATGCTCATTTCAAATTCCCTGCTCATAGTTTCTGAAAATTCTGACACCAAAGCATGAGAAGCACACCCAAAGATAATATCATCAACATAAACTTGTACGAAAAGTTGATCATTGCCATGTTTGAGTACAAAGAGTGTTTTATCAACGTTTCCCATGGTAAACCCCTTTCCAATTAAAAACGTTTTCAACCTATCATACCATGAATGTGGGGCTTGTTTTAAACCATACAAAGCTTTTGAAAGTTTATAAACATGGTTGGGAAACTTTGGATTCTCGAAACCAGGTGGTTGCTTAACATAAACCTCCTCATCAATAAAGCCATTAAGAAAAGCACTTTTAACATCCATTTGATAAAGCTTAAAACCTTTAGATGCAGCAAAAGTCAATAAAATTCTTATAGCTTCCAATCTAGCAACAGGAGCAAAAGTTTCATCAAAATCAAGACCTTCAACTTGAGTAAAACCCTGAGCAACCAACCTAGCCTTGTTGCGAACAATAACACCATCCTCACTTTGTTTGTTTTGAAAACCCAACGAGTTCCAATAAGAGTATGACCAGAAGGAGGTGAAACAAGAGTCCAAACTTTGTTACGCTCAAAATTTTCTAATTCCTCATGCATGGCATTGATCCATGATTCATCAGTTAATGCATGAGATATATCTTTGGGCTCAAAAGAAGCAACAAATGCTGAATGACTATGATAGTCAGAATCGATAAACCTTGACCGTGTGACTCTCTCATCCATGCTTCCAATAATCTGCTCAGGAGGGTGCCTTTTCTGAATATGTCGGGGTGCTGAAATATTTGACTCAGCAGCATGCTCATCCCCAACATTTGTAGTTGAAGTAGTCTCTTGAGGATGTCCAGCTGTAGCAGCAGTAGTTGTAGGTGTAGGAACAGCTGGAGTTTGCGCATGGACAGCAGGGGGCACGCCATCCTCCTCGTCATCTTCATCATCTACAAAGATTTCCTCCCCCTGAACATATGTTCCTGCATCAGAAATGCGAGGACTAGAGCCAGAACACCAAAAGATTGTACCCTTGATGGACCAACCGTATCAAGATGTAGAAGCTGTCCTGGAGCGTTAGTCATGACACTGGTAATGCGTGCATGTGAACCTGCAACCATCTTACCATGTCTACAAGGAGAGCATACAATATCTTTTTCTCTCTTAAGTTTAGGCAAACCATTTATAAGATTCATACCACTTATACGAGTGAGATGATCAAAACCAATATGCCCAAGTCTACGATGCCAAAAGAATAAATCTGTAGATGTATTGGCAACTAGACACCTAAACTTAACATTTGAAGAAGCATGAAAATCAGCCTTAAAAACTCTCCCAAAGCGTGATATCTCAAAGACAAGATCACCTGAAGCATCTAAAACTTTGCAAGCATTTTTCTTAAATGAAACTTCAAGATCCTCATCAAACATTTGTGAAACCGACAACAAGTTGTATTTCAGATTTTCAACCAAAGCAACATCTTTGAACATAAATTTGTCGGTTACCTTTACTGTACCTTTCGCTACAACAGTAGAAGTAGAAGCATCTCCAAAAGTTACACTCTCAGCCCGAGATGCACGTGTGAGGGAGGAGAACCATTTTTTATCACCGGTCATGTGACGAGAACAACCGGAGTCCACTAGCCATATGTTCTCCTTCCTCGCGCGAAGTGCCTACAAACAACAAACACAAGCCGAGGTCTCAGTACTGGGGTTAGATAAAAAACTTTTAGGTATCCAGTACTGAGACATGCGGCGAGAAGGCATTGCACGAGTTTCTTTATACATTGGGACATATTTTACATGTCTCATGCAGGCAGTAGTAGAAGGTGAAACATTCACCTTAGGCATAAACTTCGGAGCAACGGAATTATGTTGAACATAATGTGCCTTGAAGAAATTAGATCTAGCTTGCTTTCTTTCTTTCTTAATAAGTTTAGCTAGTCTAAAACAGGAACCTACAACATGTCCAGATTTACCACAAAAAGTGCATTTGTACCTACATTCAGGTTTATCATGTGGTGTATCAGCTACATTTGCACTAGGTGAAAGAGCATTAGACATAATGCCGGCAGATTTAAAAATCACATTGGTTGGCTTATCAGATGTTCCAAAAATTCCATTGCCAAGTGATTTAACAATAGTGGGAGGATTAGCCTTGAAGTGAGCATGAGCATTGAAACCAAGTCCTGTCTTATTTTTACTCACTTTAGACTTATCTAAGATCATATTCAGATTTTTATGCCCGCTAGAAAACTTTTGCAAAGAAGCTTGTAGATAATTAACTTGATGAGACAAAGCAAGACAATTATCATAAGCAGCATCCATGGCTTGTTTCCCATTTTTACAATTAGCACACGACAAAACCTCATGGATATGTAAAGCATTTTCAACATGAGAAACCCTAGCATTTGCATCTTTCAACTTCAATTCAAGAATATGACAATTATTACAAGAAGTTGAATCTGTCAAATCAGAAGTATCCACGCTAACATTATTAATTTCTTTACGTTTATGCACAACAAGCTTCTCATTGTTTTCTAATGCAGTTCTAAGCTTATCAAGAGTATCATCATGAATAAAATGCAAAGATGTAAGCTCAGAATAGATAGAATTACAAGACTTGCAAGAATCATCATCAGGAATCATAGATTTAAGTCTAGTAATTTCAGAATTCAGAGATGCAATTTTCAAGTCATATTTCTTAATTCTTTTAGTGGCATGATCTAGTAAGGAGCTCAGTTTGCTAGCACTTTCAAGTAATTCATCATAAGAAAGTTCTACCTCATTGTTGTTGTCGCTGTCGTAGTCGTCGCAGGAGGTAGCACTTTTGCTACCAGCCATAAGACACATCCCACTAATGTCGCGCTTGGCTTTGGTTGCATCATCTTCATCGGATTCGATGTCCACATCACTCAAGCATGGTTCACCATATTCATTGATGACCGAGAAAATACTGTGAGCCACCGCTCGAGCAAAGTCACCCCTCTTCTTATTCTTAATGTTGAAAGTGCGCTTATTCTTCTTGTCCTCCTTGACAGAATTATCCCTATCCCCTTCTTTCGCCATCTTGGATAAAAACTTGGGGCAGCTTTGGCGAAAGTGGTTGGGATCACCACATTCAAAACACCTTGGAATGTTGTTCCCACCTCTCTTCCTCGAGCGAACATTTTGTAGGGCACGTGAAAAACGAGAAGTGAGGAGTGCCAACTCTTCTTCTGGACATTGCTCTAGCTGTTCACCGGTTAGTTGAGACAAAGAAGACAGTGCATAGCAATGCGAATAAATACCATCATTAGAGTTGCTAGGGTTAGTAACAAGAGCAATTGATTTAGAACCAGTTCTCCTAGCAAGAATGTCTAATTCATGAGTTTTCAGTTTTGAATATAAGATATCAAGTGTAAGTGTGCTCATGACAGTAGACTCTCTAATAGATGTAACTTTCATCTCCCAGATGGACATATCTAAAGCACTCAAAAGCTGCCTAGAAGTCTCAGCATCAGTATAGGTAACACCTAATGCACGTAGATTGCTGAGAATCTTATTAAAGCGAGCAAAAAATTCATCCAAAGATTCACCTGTTTTCATCTCAAACCTCATGTACTCCTTTTTATACATGTCCTGACGCACTTCCTTAACTGAGTTTGATCCTTCATGATAGCTACAAAGTGCGTTCCATACCTCATGAGCGGATGCAAGGTGAGAGACACGGTCGAAGTCACTCCGTTGTAGACCTTGGATGATGAAGTTCCTCGCCTTGTAGTTGTTCTCCACATGAACCAAGTTTGCTGGCGTGATTGCATCGTCTGCGGGAAGCACGTAGGGCTTGGCGACTTTCTCCCAGATGGCGTAACTTTGCGCCATGATGTATGCCTTCATCTTCGCCTTCCAGAACTGAAAATCAACACCATCGAAAATACAGGGTTTGGTAGAATACCTATCCATGTCTAGCAATTCTAATCAACCGGTTAAGATAAATTAGAAAAACCTTGCTCTGGTACCAATTGAGGGATCGAGATAGGCAATCAGAGGGGGGGGGGGGGTGAATGATTGCGCGGAAGCAAATTACAACTTTTCCCAAATTTCAAACCCTGAAACTCTAATCTGTTCGTGATGGTAAAACAGTTGTATATCAAGATCTGCTGAACCAAAGATTGCGTATGAATACTCCAATTAAAGCTACGAAAATTATCTAATCAACGCAACAAGAATCAGCTTAATCAGAGTTACCAATCAAAAGTTATGATCAGGACAGTAACAGCTGACAGAAGACTGCGAAAATCAATCTAGATCTAATTTCGAGAATTAGCAAGAAAGATAGATTAATCGCACCACAAACTTCCCTCGATCTCGTGAAAAAAACCTGCAGCAAAGTATTAGAGAAATCTAACACGAAAATTTCACCGAGATTAGAGAAGCCCAGAGATGACACCGCCAAAGATCACTTTATTGCAACGATGTCGATCGATTACAGAAGATGCAAACGTGCATCCAAGAACTCTCCAAGAATAGCTCTAGGTTAAAACTCTGAGTTCCCTCACGTTTTTTCCACCTAAACCGTGGCCTGGACCCCTCTATTTATAGAACTAGGCAACACCTAAAAAGAGTCCATATCAAAAACGAAACTGACGTCCGAGCTGGCTGCGCCGGACCGTACGCTCAGCACCAGACACGGAAACGAGCTGTGTCTGCTCTTGTGCGTGAGCGCTCACCTCGTTTGCTGCATGGGCCACGCTGGGCCTGCTCCTCCTGGCATTTAGCCTATGTACGCTCAGCTGTAGACACATACAACGAGCAAAATCTGCTCTTGCGCGTGAGCCTGGCTGACGGCCTCCGTTGCGCACGTCGCCTTCCATCGATCCGCACGCCTGCCATATGGGCGGCCCGCGCTGGACTGGGCCGCACCCGCTCGACTCGCCCGATCGATCTGTTGCCGCTGCCGTGCGCGCAAACACATGTGCACACCTTGCACCCCGTGACGTCTTCAGTACCGTACATCTCCGGTACAAGCCATGTACGACAAACCGGTGCCCTCCCGGATCATCGTAGCCTTCACTTTCATTGTTCCTTCGCACGAACGCCCCGCATGACCATGATCCCCAGACCTCAGCTTCTCCCAAGCTTCGTCCCTCGATCCTGTCATCGACCACGTTCCTCCAGCTTTGGCAACACCTGAAAGTGAACACAACAAATAACCAGAACGAGCACAAGTCCACGACTTGACTCAGGGTAAGTTTCACACAACTCACGCCATATTTTCACACAAGAAACTAATGGATCAGCACACCATTAGCAAAGTATTCAGCCCAATACAAGTATCCATATCACATCGCACAAGTATCCATATCACCCAAAATATCCATATCAATGTTTTACTTAGCACTTGCCAATGTTGCACATCACACATGACTTCACAATAGCCCTGTTGATTTCCTACCCTTCTTGTGATTCTCAAGGAAAATCCTCACTAAGCTGTTATGGTCAGCATGTATAGCCTTCCTCCGAGTAAGAAGTTCCAAGACGATAACTCCAAAACTATATACATCACTTTGTTCCGTCAGATAGCCTTTTTGTAGGTATATTGAATCCATATAAGTCATGTCACCAATGATATCTCTCGCAATTATCCTTGACATGCCAAAGCCCGAGACCTTAGGCACGAAGTTGCCATTGAAGAGTTTGTCATCGAATAGTATATTTGCTGGTTTAAGATCACCGTGTAAAACTTGGGTGCCGGGCACTGAATGCATATATGCTAGAGCATCTGCTAATGCTGCAGCAATACTTGATCGCACACTCAAGTTGAGAGGCAGCTTGATGTTGATGTGAAGAATGTCATGAAGGCTAACTGTGGAGAAAGACTCATAGACTAGGACCGGGGCATCAAATTCAAGGCAGCAACCTATGAGCCTAACAATGTTTTTGTGAATGACTCGACATTGCATGATGACTTCATTTGCAAAATCTCCATTCTTTATCACATTGTCACTAATCAGCTTGATTACCGTGACTGGTACGTTATCAACAAGACCCTTGTAAACTTCTCCAAAGCCATCTTTTCTAATAAAATTATTATCCTTCAAAATTGGCTTGAGCTCCCCCTTTTTGAAAAGTTTCACACATTTTATATTTTCCAATATAGGACCGCCCAACCTCACGTAATTCTTGCGAGCTTTTGTGTCGTAAATGTCTAAATTGTTCAACTTGTAGAGCACACCACGGTTAGAGCTAGAAATACTTGCACCTTGTGGAATGACATTTTGCTTTGTATCTCGCGCTCCACATAATGACCATTGATCATCTGAAGCTCCTTCTCGACCTTGCAGCCACTGATCTTCTGTAGGCGTCCCATGCTTGATGTCCTTTCCAGGGTACTCAGATGAAAGCTTTGTAATTCTGTCTTGGCAATATTGTTCCTTTAGGAAACTAACTTGTTGTTCGACTGATGAACTACTGATACCAGCTTCGGTGACACTTGTCGTTTTATCAAGCCTATCGTTTATACGGCGGGCAGTTGGTCTCTTCTTCGGGTCCAAGTCCATACACTCTATCCCTATCTTAGTGCATACTCTTACTTGATCCAACTGTGTCTCCAAATTATCTTATGCCTCCAATCGATTCATCCAATTTTCAACTATCTACAAAGTTGCAACTGTAAGTTACAGTCTAGAAAATAAACTCTGATGGTAGGTGATTTGTAGCTAATATAAATATAGCGAAAATACCCTGGAAATCTTTAGGAGGAAAATGCATATATTCATATGGACATATAGATTGACATAGGTGCCAGTTGCATTTTTATTTGTTCAAGCATAAATGCACGCTTGTCACCTATCCTCGTAGGTTTGGTCTAATGGGTGGGCTTGTATCTTGGCATATGAAACACAAAACAATATTCATGCAATGAGGTATTGAGTTCAAGAAGTTCAAGAATGCCAGCCATTTTCAGTCCACATTTAGGTTTTTGGGGGTTACACAACAGAAAAAGGTTGACACATCAGCGCATTTTTCACATTCCCTCATAAGTTCAATTTTTTTGGAGAACTAACAAGGATGAACAGTAAGAAGGCATTCAGAACAGTTTCTTGTTTATGGATAGATTAGTTTTGTAATTTCTCTAAGGTAAACTAAATAGTAACATAATTTATGTGAAAATATATACTTAACATGGAGCAAACACTTAAACTCTTACATTCTCATCTTCTTGATACCCCTTCTCTCCTGTTAAAATCTCCATGATTATAACGCCAAGACTGTATATGTCTGAGGCAAATGCGACTTGACCTCTGTAGAATTCAGGAGCCAGATATCCCCTACAACAAGAATGTCTGATCAATGAATAGACACGAGTATAAATTCATCTCAAACAAAAGGAAGAGCTCTTAAGAGGATGGCTTACTGTGATCCACATAGGTGTGAAGTAAAAGCTCGTGTTTGGTCTTTATCCAAGCACCTTGATAGACCAAAATCAGCAATTTTGGGTGTCATCCGATCATCAATCAATATTATCCGGCTTTAGATCTAAGTGGAGGATATGCCTCTCGTGAAGATGAAGTAAGCCTTCACATATTCCCTTGATTATCTGGTAGCGCTCACCCCATTCAAGATCACCAGATGCATCTAAGAACAAAATCAACAAACATATGGGATACTGGATCACCACAAAATATGGGAAGCTAGGATTGTATAATGAGCTATCTGAATAATAAAAATATGAGAATAAATTCTACATCATACCTGTAATATACTTATCGAGACTTCCATTTGGTACATACTCGAAACATAGTAACCAGTTCCGCAGATCTGCCATCACAAACTTACCCTCATAATCCGCAATCCTCCCTTGCGTGTCAGAACAATATCCTAGGAACCGCACTATATTCTTGTGCTTGGCCTTCATCAGGCACTCAACCTCTTTGTGAAATTTATTCTCATGCATATCAAGTGTTTGGGACAACTTCTTCACAGCAACCATTCGTTTTCCCACTATTCCCTGTAGTCACAGTGTGTATTATTTATTTATGTGCGTGCGGTGGTGTGGTTGTGATTTTCATTTGTTGTTTATCCTTTAGATCAACTACAGTTAAGAATGAGAAAGCTTACTAGTGATAACATATACCTTATAAACCACCGCAAACCCACTGCTACCAATTTGCTGATCATCGGAGAAACAGTCTGTGATATCTTCTAAAAGCGATAACTGCATGTGTGTTGGCTGTGCACTTCCATTAAGCAGCATGCGCTCCAGGTCAACTTTGTATCTGATACTAATTTTGCCATCCATTCGCAATGAATACCACACTCCAGTACCTTCAAAGCAAGAGGAACATATGCCAATGTTTTGAGTCCACCATGGATATATCTGATTATGCAAATAACGATGAAATCCAGAATGAATAACAATCACACATGTTACTCGAGTCCACCAATCCGATTATTATACATATGCCATTGCAACCCAACCCCTACTCGAGTATATAATAATAATAATCATAAAGGACAATGATTGTCATGGCAGAATCCTATTAGTATAAGTTCACCACTTTGAGAACAACACATTTAAGTTTAGGTAATACTCCCTCCATCCCAAAATATTCCAAAATAAGTGTCGTTGATTTAGTACAAAATTGTAGGGAGTAGTACATATGAGAAGTTGATGACTTAATCACAAGAACCTGCAATACAAGATTATAGATGTGTCGTAGAAAGTAGCAATATTCTTCTCTAATAAACTATATCCTTTTCTTATTATCATGAAGCAACCTTGTTTAGGGATAACCAATTAGCAATTTTAAATTAAATCATTCAGCAACAGAAACATATTCTTTGTTTAATTAAGTTTTGAAAAGGAAGATTTTATTGCTAGCCACATGTACGCACAAACCATCTGAAGAAATTAAGAGAGAGAGAGAGAGAGAGAGAGAGAGAGAGAGAGAGATGTGTGTGTACATACATACCGCGGCGGAAGCGAAGTAATCAACTAATCCTGTAGAAGCAGGCGGCCGGTGAGCAGAGATCGATGAGATCTTGCGCTCGCGAGCTTCGAGGAAGATCGACGACGATCTCAGCCTGCCTAGCCTGCAGCGTCAACACTTTGATGATGTGTTATGACCTAACCTATGATTTGGCCAGATGCTAGGTTATCAGCAGGATTTGGGGATCGGAACGAAGACTTTGGAGAGGAGACGGAGGAGGAGGAAGAAGCAAGGGAAGTTCTTAAAGTTTCTTTTTGATTGATGATGAGAATAAACAAACTGCGCCCTACCACACACACTGGCCACTATACCCCACGCTGGCTCAACCACTTCCGACGCAGTCAACCAGCAGCTGGTACGACTGACTAGCCGCCGACCGCCGTTGCCATGGCCCTCGCTTCCCCGGTCTCCGCCCCGCCTGCGTTGACCCTGCGCGGCCGTCTGTGGGCAGACATCACGGAGGAGGACACGATGACGACGGGAGGTGCTCGCGCATCGTCTCTGGCGCCATTGACTCGCCACCGCCCGCCATGCTCTCCGGCAGCGGGATGGGAAGGTGGGTCGATGCGGTGGCCGGGACACACCGTGCCACAGATGCCGGCTCGAACGGATCACCGGTACAAAAGAGCGTAAATCTGGAGGCAATGAATCTGAATATCTGGCAATGGGTTACCTGAAACGCAGACTCCATCAGCAGCATGGATCACACACATGATTTGCTTTGGTTCAGACTGTATGCGTGTGTGTGTGCTGCAGCCTGCATAGCAGAGGTTTGCTTTGCTCGCAGAAAACAATAAAAAGGAACAGAGACTGACGGTGCAAACAACATGCCACTAGAACAATGAAACTGATGATGAGACGACGCGGCTCATTTGCCTGTGACGGTCACTGTTAGAGAATGTATGCATGGATGCTTCTGTGACGGACTGATGCGGCCGTCGCCACAAAGTTTAGAGAAGTGCTAGCTGCTTATGCTGAACCATGAACTGAAGAATGGTTCAGAGAAGCACTAGCTGCAAAGCATTTTACAGCAGAGGGGGAAGAAACTATGAACTAGAGAATAATAGTTCACACAAACTATGAACTGGAGTAGCTTTGAGCTACGTTTGCTGTTTGGTATATTGACAAAGCGTTTGTATCACCACACAAATCCATACAAATGGTGGCAACGTTATGTGAACTGCACCAGCATTAACCCCCTATGAATAGGCTCAACAGTCAACAGTACACAGTGCAAAAACAATAATTAACCTTACTAAGGTATAATAAGGAAGGGCAAGAATAGATGGATCCACACATCAGAGAAGGTAACTAAGACAGGGTTAAACACCAGAAAACTGAACCAACATCCCGATATAGTAGCTATAAAGAATGCAAGCTCACACCTTGTCTACGGTAATCATTCAGTGCGGAAAGACGGTCTGCAACATCTTCCATTGTCGGTCTTTCGTCCGGATAGAGGTTAATACACTCCACAGCAATTTTTGCAAGAATCCCAATAAACTCCGGATTTTTTGACACTACAATTTCCTCATCAAACAACTCAGTTGATTTCCTCCCCATCTTGTGATTCTCAAGGAAATTCCTCACCAAGCTGTTATTGTCAGAATGTGTGGCCTTCCTCCTAGTAACAAGCTCCAAGATGGTAACTCCAAAGCTGTAGACATCACTTTTTCCGGTTAGCAGGCCTGTTTGTACATACGCTGGATCCATATAAACCATTTCACCATCGATTGTTCCGTTGTGTCCCGCAGCCATGCTTGACATGCCAAAGTATGAGACCTTAGCCATAAAGTTGTCATCCAAGAGTATATAAGATGGTTTAAAACTACCAAATAAGATTTTATACATGCCAAATGAATGCATGTAAGGCGGACGCATGTTGTGGCGAGTGGGGGCCCAGGACCCCACTCGATTCATCGTCCTCTTCGTACTACGTCCCGATGCTAGCGAGCAGGCCTCCAGTCGGGCTATAGCAGGTGCCCCCACTCCCTTCCAGTTCGGCCTTTCTGTAAAGCCCAATACAAAAAGCTAATCAAGGAAAAAATTCAAGGCAGAAGGCGTGCGTGTACCCTGCTGCCGCCTGCCGCTTCACTCTAGGAGCTCACAATTAATAGCGAGAAAAACGAAGAGGCAAGCCCTCGGCCGCCGCTTGGTTGGACCATTGGTGGATCGCGGCTTGGCGTGTGCCAGTCCTGTGCCATCCGGTCGCCGGCCACCGGCCGCCCGCTGCCAGCAGCAGCGGCGCCACCGTCGACGGGTGTACAGCAGCAATGGATGAACGGAACATCCTCAGCAACTCATCTCTGATCAGGTCTGTACCATCTCCTCATCTCCTTATCCCAAACTACTAAACTCCCCTAGGTGCAGACTACAGAGATACTTCTTAGTTCTTTATTTTGCTTGCTGTTGCCTGACTACACTCTGGTCCTTATTCTTCAGTTGATTCCATGGTTTATCTCATATCAAATCAAATGAAAACTTGCAGTTCGTACTAGTACAGTAGTACTACTCTATGTCTCTATCAGACATGTAGCCATGTACAGTTGGTTCTACCAAAAAATTATAGGATTAGTGTGACACACTACTTGTACTTGGAAAATTTCTATGGAATTCAATCTGGCATGCCATTCTACTACTAGTACTTTTGCTGGCCTGCTAGTCTGCTCCACTAGAATGTTTTGTATCTGAACTTTTACAATTTGTGCTTCCATTATTTGATAGGGAAGAGAAGGGAAGATAATGGAGAAGTATTTGATAAAGAAATCAGCAAATGCCAACACCACCACCCAGCCCCAGGGGGCTATCACCAGCAACAATTCAAGTGGCAGTAGTAATGCATCAAGACCTGCAGCAAAACATAATTCTGCTGTGCCTGAACTAGTTGATTTGAATAAGCTCCCTCGCGATCCAGCTAAAAGGAAGCGAATGGCAGATTATCACCCCAACCAACGTGACGAGATAAGAAGGAAGTATTTGATTTGGGGACCTAATCAGCCCCGCAAATTGGAATTTCCATACAGGGAGATTGGGAAGAAGAAAAAGAAGAGGAGATTCAATCCGGATTGGTATGATGATTATGCTTATTGGGTAGAGTACAACGAGAAGGAGCACAAAGCCTATTGCTTATGCTGCTATTTGTTTAGGGACAACATTAAAGACAGCCACCATCGGCATGATGCATTTGTAGTAGAAGGTTTCAACTGTTGGAACAAGACAGAGAGATTTGTAACTCACGTCGGTGATCGTAACAGCTTTCACAACAGAGCACTCAAGGATTGCGAGGATCTATTAAAGCAAGATCAATCAATCCCTGCAGCCTGGAATAGACAAAGCCAAACTGAAGAATGAGCATCTCATCAGGTTAAATGCCGCAATTGATGTTTGTCGATACTTGTTGCATCAGGGACAACCTTTCTGTGGCCATGATGAATCTAAAGATTCTGAAAATAAAGGAAATTACCTTGAGTTGATGGACTACACTATTAAGCAAAATGATGTTGTTGCTAAGGCATTCAAGAATGCTCCAAATAATAATCAAATGTTGTCTCCCAAAATTCAAAGAGATATTACCGAGTGCTTTGCAAAAGAAGTACTAGGCCATGTGATGAAAGAAATTGGTAATGGTGTGTTCAGCTTATTAGTTGATGAGTGTAGGGATGTTTCCGACAAAGAACAAATGGCGGCTGTTCTCCGATATCTTGATAAGTGTGGACTGGTCCAAGAGAAGTTTGTTGGTGTTGTTCATGTGGAGGAGACAACAGCTTCTTATCTCAAGTCTTGCATAGATTTATTATTTTCACAACTTGGGCTGAATCTTGAACAAGTTAGAGGCCAAGGTTACGATGGAGCAAGTAATATGTCTGGTGAGTTTAATGGTTTGCAAGCTAAAATTATGAATGAGAACAAATCAGCATATTATGTACATTGTTTTGCTCATAAACTCAACTTGGTTGTTGTGGCTATTGCAAAGAAGATATTCGAGGTCGGAGATTTCTTTGATATGGTTTCAGTTTTGCTGAATGTCGTGGGCGCGTCTTGCAAGAGAAAAGACCAACTTCGTGAGCATCACCAAGAAGAAGTGAGAAAAGCAATAGGATGTGGAGAGATTGCTATGGGGACTGGACTGAATCAAGAATTATCTCTTCAAAGACCAGGTGACACTCGATGGAACTCCCATTATAAAACACTGTTGGGTTTGTCCAAGATGTTCTCATCTGTGGTCAAAGTACTAGAATATGTCGAGAAAGATGGCACAGATACCGGAAAGAGGCGGCAAGCTAGAGGTCTTCTAAAATATTTCCAGACCTTTGATTCTGCATTTTTCTTACACATGATGATGATGATATTAGCTTTAACAAATGGGCTGTCAAAAACCTTACAGAGAAAGAATAAAGACATTGTAAATGCTATTTCAGATGTGGAATCAACAAAACGAGAGTTAGAAAAACTCAGAACCAATGAGGGGTGGGATTCCCTTATGAAGAAGGTATGTTGTTTTTGTGAGAAGCATGACATTCCAGTGCTTGACATGGAAGATGCCTATGTTAACCCAAAGAAGCCACGACAAAAGACTGGCATTAGCAATGAACATTATTATTGTGTTGACTGTTTCTTTGCTGTGCTCGATCTATTAGGAGAAGAGTTTAATGACAGATTTAATGAGGTAAATTCCGAGTTGCTTCTATGCATGTCTGCTTTGAGCCCAAGTGATTTATTTTGTCATTTTGACAAGGAGAAGTTACTGAAATTAGCAAAGTTTTATCCTGATGACTTCAATCACAAAGATATGGTGACTCTTGAGCATGAACTTGGACTCTATATAGATAATATACTCCATGATACAAGGTTTTCTAGCTTGGACAGAATAAGTGACTTGGCTAAACTGATGGTGGATACTAGGAAGAATCTCTCATATCCTTTGGTATATCGGCTTTTGAAGCTAGCTCTAACTCTGCCTGTTGCCACTGCCACTGTCGAGAGATGTTTTTCAGCGATGAAGATTGTGAAGAATGCTTTGCGTAACAAAATTGGTGATGATTATTTGAGCCATAGCCTAATTTGCTTCGTGGAGAAGGAGCTGCTGGACACAATTACCAATGAAGTGATTGTTGATCGTTTCCATAAGATGAAAGATCGTCGTGGGAGAAATGAAACGTAATGGTCTAATACCTTCCACCCTTTTTATATTTACCATCTCCATAGTATTCAAATGCATTGTCCTAATCTGTGTTTTCTCTTCACAGGTAATGCCATTTGTCTTGGAGACAAATATTACCTTTTGCCACCTATGAAATTATTGGGATATAAAGCCTTCTTGTAAGATTTCTTCAGTTTAGTGCCAAACCTATCATGTTACTACTAGATGATGTATCACTTGTTGGCATTTATGTCAGACAAATATTATCTTTTGCTACATATAAAAACTAGGATATAAAGTGTAAGGTTTGTTTATTTTAATGGTAAATTTGTGATGTTATTAGTGGATGAAGTATCTTCTGTCTTGAACGTGGATGAAGTATCTTATTGTTATAGGAAAAATGCTAGATTTTTTATGCATGAAAAGTGCTATACGTTTATACGATTGTGTAAACATGTTCATGAGTTTTACATAGACGAGCGCCCCCAGTCAGTTTTTATCCTAGGTCCGCCCCTGCGCTTGATGATTCTGCAGCTATACTTAAACGCAAATCCAAGTTGAGAGGCACCCTGTTGCTGTGAAGAATGTCATGGAGGCTACCTCTGGAGGGATACTCATAGACTAGCGCCGGCGTGTCAACTTCAAAGCAATAACCTATGAGCCTAACGATGTTTCTGTGAATAAGTTCACATTGGTTGCGGACTTCTTTTGGAAATGGCTCCCCATTCTCCGACATAGTACCACTAATCAGCTTCCTTACTACGACTCGTACATCATTAACAAGTCCCATGTAAACTTCTCCAAAGCCACCTCTTCCATTGAAATAAAAATCCTTTAAAAATGGCTCGAGCTCATCCCTTTTGAAAGGTCTCAGTTGTTTTGCTCTCTGCAACGTAAGCCCACTGTCCCTTACATAATTCAAGTGTGCTTTTGTGTTGAAGATGTCCATATTGTACAACTTGTGGAGAAAACCAGAGCAAAAGCTAGAAATGCTCGCACCTTGTGGGATGACATTTTGATTTGTATCTTGCGCTCCCCATAATGACCATTGATCACCTAGAGCTTTTTCTCGAATTTGCTGCTAATGATCTTCTTTAGGTGCCCCAACACATATTTTGCAAGTTCTTCTGTCTCAGCATGTTCCTTGATGTCCTTTCCAAGGTACTCAGATGAAAGCTTTGCAACTTTCTCTTCACAGCATTGTTCCTTTAGGAAACTAACTTGTTCAAATGATGAACTACTGATGCCAGTTTCCATGGTACTTGCCATTTTATCAAGCCTATCATTTATATGCCGTGCAACTGGTCTCTTCTTTGGGTCCGAGTCAATGCATTCCATGCCTATCTTGATGCATACTCTAACTTGCTCCAAGTGTGCCTCCGATTGATCTGATCCCTCCAACCTATTCATCCAAGTCTTAACCACCTACAAAATTGCAATTGTGACTTAGACATAGAAATAAACTATGACGACAAGTGATCTATGAAAAGAGACATGTTCAAAATTCTAATGGAAAAAATATAGCCATTATTATAAATTGAGCTATGCTGTTAGTTGGACATTGTATTTGCTGAAGAGTACGTAAGTGCATTTCTCACATGTGTCCACTTTAGATTAACCTGAGTAAGCTAGTTGGTATGAAACACAAATGGTATCCATGTAAAAAGGTCTTGAGTTCAAGAATGGGCTAGCACAATTAAAAAAAGGTGTAGCCTACTTTAAGACCACGTCAGGCCTAAGGGAGCCACACGTGCGGCCGTTTTTTCCACATTTCCTTATGAAGTTCGATCTTTTAGGTGGACTGGCAAGGACAAAAGTGTAAGCGGGGTGCTACAAATGCTATTTTAGTGCTACATCTTAGGACAAAGAGGCTTATATGCAAGTTTATTTTTTGTCGATTAAACAGGCAATGTGGTACTAAAGGTGGGGGTGCCACAAAATAGATGATGTTTTAGACTAAACCATGCATGTCCGAGACGAAATTTTTACAATTTCTGTTTTTCTTTTGGAGAGATTTACTTTACAATTTCTGTAAGGTAAACTAGAGTATAAGATATAGAGTGCAGATTTTGGCTGACAAGCTCCAGGAAGCCCAGTAGTAAAAAAAACGAAAATCATATTTAAAAGTTAAAAAAAATCGAAAATATTTCTGTGAAAACTTGTATGTGTTCATTACGGATCTGTGAATTTTTATTTGAAAATATTGTGATTTGTAAGCTACACGGAAGAAACAAAATTGTGGCCCAACAAAAAAAGTCAGCCCATTTTGAATACATAGTTGTCTTTTTTTTTGTACACCATGTGTGAAAGTATATTATTGTTATAAAATTTCGCATACATAGTATAAATGTGTAGGTGTATTCACAATTTTGTCTATTTTTTGTGATGTACAAATACGGTATTTTAATACCAGGCTCCCTGGAGCCTAGCCTCCATTAGGCATTTTCAATAAGATATATAGTTATTTGAATACTTCAACATGGACCCAACACTTAATTGATTCTTACATCCTCATGTTCTGGATACCCCTTCTCTCCTGTCAGTATTTCCAGGATGATAACGCCAAGACTGTATATGTCCGACGCGAATGTGAGTTTCCTTCCGAAAGATTCTGGTGCCAAATATCCCCTACAAGAATGTTTTTTAGATCATAGTCAATGAATGTGCACTCAAATATAAATTCATGCCAAACAAAAAGGCCTTTCAACAGACTGGCTTACATTGATCCACATGGGTTTAAAGTAGAAGCCCGGGTTCTCTCTTTATCAAGGCACCTTGATAGACCAAAATCAGCAATTTTGGGTACCATGTGATCATCTACCAATATATTACCAGGCTTCAGGTCTAAGTGGAGAATGCGTTCCTCATGAAGATGAAGTAAGCCCTCACATATTCCCTTGATAATATCGTAGCGCTCCCTCCATTCAAGTCCATGAGATGCATCTGCAGAGCAAAGGTTTTCATATTTCGCCCCTTAGATGTTGCTAATGTAATGTAAATCTACAAATTCCTAATCATGCAAAGCATTTTGAATGAGTTTTCTTTTAAGATGTTCTAACTTATTCTTAAGGAGCCAGGAATAGTGAATAAAACTCATTAAGCCGTTTGTTGTTGAAATAGATGGAGCCAAATTTATGCTCGTGCAAGTAACCTGGTAGAGCAGGGTATTTTTCTAGTGAATTCTAGTCTATAATAAGAATGAAAACAGAGTGAATACCAACAGATAATTGTCCTACCAGATGTAATTCACCGATGTTTGCTGAATATGGAAATGAATAAAAAAATATTTTACGTATGAATATAACTGGGAGCCATGCAATATACTGACGTCAAGTAAATACAACATCACAATCTTTGACAGGCCGTTGGATCAAAAGGAATAGATGGTTAAAAATAGTTCAAGAGCACTTTGAAATTTCTCATTTCAAATAGATGTATTGCTTTGCGTTGGACTCTGGGACTGTAATCACATTTGCTAAGAAAATAAATATAGGAATAGACATTACGATCATTACCAGAAACATACTTATCGAGGCTTCCGTTCGCTACATACTCAAAACATAGCAACCAATTTCGCAGCTCTGCCATGACAAATTTCCCTTCGCAATTTGCAGCTCTCCCTTGCGTGTCGGAACAATATCCCAGGAAACGCACTATGTTTTTGTGCTTGACCTTCATTAGGCACTCAACCTCTTTATAGAATTTATTCTCATGTACACCAAATGTTTTGGACAGCTTCTTAACAGCGACCATCCCTTTTCCCACCATTGCCTAGTCACAACATGCATTAGTTGCCTGCACACGTGTGGTGGTGTAATTGTGATGTGCACATGTTGTTCATCTTTTAGATCACTGTGAGTTGGTCAGGAATGAGAAAGCTTAGTAGAAATACTTCACACCTTATAAGCTACCAATTTCCTGATCATCAGAGAAACCGTTTGTGATGTCTTCTGAAAGTGATAACGCCACGCGTGTTGGTTCTGTACTTCCATCTAGCAGCATGCGCTCCAGGTCAACTTTGTGTCTGATGCTAATGTCGCTATCCATTCACAATCAACACCACGGTGCAGCACCTTCAAAACAAGAGCCACATATATAACATTGCTTTAAGTCCACCATATACCCCATTCCATAAGTAACCATGAAAACATAATGGAGAAGGATGATCACGCATATGTGTGCATCTCCACATTAGCTAGTGAATTACTCAAGTATTATAAACGACAAATATTTTGCTATTTCGCTTGTTTGAATCGTAATAGCTTGAGGATACAAGTCACCAACTCGTGAACAGTTTGTTTGATTTTAAATAGTTAGCATAATACAGATCGATCAAGTTGACGATTTGATGACGAGAATATGAAATACAAAGATCATAGATCTACAGTTGAGACTGGCAATATTCATGTGTGATTAACATGATTTTTTTAACGGTAAGAAGTTAGCAGTTTGAAAGTGCGCACCATTCAGCGACAATAACAGATTCTTATATAGCTAGCCCGATTTGATCTGGACTAGTTGTCCTTTTGGGCTACTATACTAGCAGTCTAGCACACGCGACAAGAAATTAGGAACAAAAAGGAGGCAGAACAAAGTTAATTAAGATGAAATCAAAATACTATGTATGCAGCATGGTCTCGAACTCTCGATAGA